CTTAACAGTATTATAAAAATAACCTTCTGTTAATTATGTCTTATTTACAGGGCAGCATGGTCCCAGGGTGTGCAGAGGCACCACAGGTCATTACAGTCACACCATTATGTTGGTTGTGAAGGACATAACACAGGCAATAATTACAACTCTCTCCTTGCCATTAAAATTCAGCCAGGACATTGCAAATGGTGTTTTGGGAGATACAGACTCCAGAACATCTCAAGGAGTGTAATAAGAAACCCTCTTTAAAGAGTTTCTAGAGAAAATTCTATTTCTAGAGCAAAACAGAGGTCTGGTTACATTTGCCATCACCAGAGCATCCCAGCCAGATAGCAGCTCCCCACATCCCTCCCTGGGCACACAGCTGAGTGATTTGGTCAGCAGTCGAGCCCTGCTGTGCTTGTGAATTGTTTTCCAGGAGTAGGACCTTTGCTGCACTTGGTGCTGCTCAGGGAGGCCGTGCCCAGACCCCTTGGCACTGCCTGGCCCTGCTGCCTGCTCCAAGCTGGCCTGGGCACCGGGCTGCTGACATGCAGAGCAAACCAAGGGAGAGGGTGGAAATGTGTCCTCGCTGCCCCCAGGCTCAGTTGAAACCCGTGCTATGTACATATGCATGTTTGTGAGATGTAATGTGATGGAGGGCACACTGGGACTTTTTGGATCAAGCGTTTGTCAAGAGCTAGAAGCCAAAAAAAGACAAGAAAATAAAATAAAAAGGAAAAGAAGCCATGCCAGATGGACAGCAATGTTTCCATATTTACTTTGTTTACAGTGCTTTGTAAATAGGTTCCAGTGAGTCTGTCTTTAGATGGATGTTGTGTCAGCTGCCTTCCAGTGTATCTTTGTCATGTCGGTTTATTTACTGTAAACTACTTATGCAAGTTCAACTTTTCTAACATGTTTTTATTTTGAACAGTTTTTTAATTGACATTTTCAACAAATAAAGGATAAAAGTCACTTCTTAGCCCTTGGAGCTGCTTCCTGTGTTTCTGCCATGAAAGCAAAGCCAGTGCTTGCTCTGGGCATCACTGATTTCCTCAAAATGCCATGGCAGCATCATACATCTCTCATTTACTGGTAGGAATGCTGGTGTGAAAGGTGATGCTGGCACTTGGACTGTTGCTCCCATCGTCATCCATATCTGCAATAGGCCAAGAGCACCTGATCCCAGGGCAAGAGATGCATTTCCATCCCTCAGGCCCCACGTGCACTCTGTTCACAAGGATGCTTTATGGAAAACAGACTGCTCTGCTGCACCAGGCACTTGCTGTAGATAAGTGACTTCCTGCCTGTTTGAGATTTTATTTTTTTTAGTTAGTGTGTGTTTTTTTCTGGCAATTAGGTGTGGTGACAGGATTTCCTTTGGTCTGCCACCACTTGGACAAGACGTCTCCTGCAGGCTGGGAGTTTTTTAACTCTTTGGTGGAGATGTGCCATGGTCTGTGGTCTCAGCCCACAGCAGAAGTGGAAGATCAAGGGCAGGAGGGTTGGACACTCCTCTCCTTCCCCAAACACAGTCTTGAGAGTAGGAAAAAGAACAAGGGAAAAAAGAAACACTAGCCTTGGGTGCATCATGGAAAAACACTGAAGTCTGAAACTTCCAGAGGGCAGGCTTAAATGGGATATTAGAAAGCCTCACTCTTCCCTATGAGAGGGGTGAGGCCCTAGAACAGGTTACCCAGAGAAGCTGTGGCTGCCCCATCCCTGGAAGGGTTCCAGGCCAAGTTGGATGTGGCTTGGAGCAACCTTGTGTGTGCGTGTATATATATGTGTGTGTATATATATATATATATATAAAACATGTGTATATCTTTATCTATCTATATATCTATATACTTTTTTTTTTTAGTAAGATCAGTGTGTATTGAACCATACAAACACCTCTCCCAGCAGATCTCCGTGCTGCTGCTTGGGCAGCGCTGCTCATCCATCACCCGCTGTGCCAGTCCTGCTGATGTGCCCTGCAAACTCATTACCCTCAAACCCCTTAACTCAGAACAAAAATCAGTTTGGAAATGGTAAAATCCACAGCCTGAGGACTTGCATAGAGGCCTCACGTCAAGGAAAAAATCAATGTATTGACAACCTTTGAACTTTCCATGGGGAGAGCAAACAGTGCCAGCTATGGCAACAGGCAGGGCTGGGGGAGAAGGACACAGCGGAATGGCAGCAATTGCCTCTCGTCCTCTCTCACACACTACCTCACATCTGAATCCCACTGGCTATTTTTGGCAAGTCAAGAAACAGAGGCAAGAAACAAAAGCCCTGATAAAGGCAGCCGTGGGAGCAGGGGCTGGAGTTGGTCAGGCAACCCACAGGCAGGAGAGATGACAGCTGGCATCTGCTGCCCTTGCTGCAGAATTTATGGACTTCTTTAATGACTGTTTTTCTCCTCCCCTCTTTGTTTTCCTCAACCATGCAATTTGCAGCTTCTGGATCCCTGCTCAGTGATCTGGGCTGGGGACCACAGCCCAGCCCAAGGTCTCTGGCAGGTGCTCCTGGCCATCGAGGTTGGGGGCTGCAGGAGGCTTCAAAGTGTGCACTGATCACAGTTTTTCCGCCTGTGATGAGCACGTTTTCTACTCCTCGCTTTTGGCCACACACACACTCCTCACAGATCTCTCCTCCCCATTCACTTGCTCCAAGCTTCTCCCCCCGTCTCAGACCACGCTAGCTCGCACCGTTTTCGGTTTCTCCTGTAGCTCCCACCCACGCTCCCACCATGACCGAGCACCTCCACCTCCCCTGTGGAGGTTTGTGGTTCTTCAGGCAGCCCAGCACTGCCTGCAGGAGCCTGGCCCACAGGGCTGGCTGTGTTTCAGTAGGAGCAGGGGGATGTGGTCAGACCCACACTACCGTAGGGCACCGCATCCATCCCTCTGCTCTGAAGCAGAGACATCCCTGCAGGCTTCATGACCTCAGGACAGGCAGGAATTATCCTCTTTCAGTCAGGCGTCCTAAATCCCATTAAAACTAGTCCCCACCCCTCTGTTTCATTGCTGTGCTAGGGGCTTCAGCCTTGGTGTCTCGCTGCCCTCCCAGGACAGGGGCTCCCTGTTTCCTTCTGCTGCCGAAATGTCCCTGGTGTTGCCTGGCCCTGGCACCTCAACATGCCCCAAGGAGCATGGTGGAATGGCTGCCCCTGGAGGCTTCTGGCACTGGCTGTCCCCACTGTGACCCCCCAGTGCCACCCCACTGCCCTCTTGGTCCCCAGACCCCCAAGCAGGACCCTGTGAAATCTCAGCCTGGATTTGGGAAGGGTGAGCAGCGTTCAAAACATACAGAGCCACCTATGTCTGAATCCATAAATTGTATGAACTGTGGGGTGATGAGTGGAAGAAACCCCACATTGTGGAAGGAGGAACCACGAATTATGCTGCAAAACACAGCATAATGCACAGTCCTCTGGCACTCAGCTTCTCTGGTTACAAATATAAGATGGGTTCAATTAAATAAATAATCTTCATACTAGATGTCAGACAAGAGTGGTCCATCCCCTAAAAAAGTTAGTTTTGGAGAACATCCAAAAAATACTTACTGAATTATAGTGAAACCAAACAGTCCCTGAGCTCTATTGGTTTTGAAGGGGGCTGTGCTGGGCACTGAGCTCTGCAATGAGCTGTGCAAAGAATGCCCTTTCTGTCCCACCAGTAGTGGCATTTGGGCACTATGTTAGGACTAGACCTGCAGCCTCCAGCACAACAAAGCCTAAAGACTTTCGAAATCTAGAAGCTCTTTCATTTGCAAACTTGTTGGTGTCCAAGATTATTTCCAAACTTTGACACTCTAAGTGTGACCTGTATAACCAAACACCCCAGGCTTGTCACATGCGTCATCTTCAAATGTTTTTCAAAATGCAATCAATATCCTTGTGCTCTGATCACCTTCCCTGCAGACCAAGCTGGAGAATAGGGTTGGGAAGACCCTAGTGTGCAGTGTCACCCAGGTACCCCCTGCCCAAGGGGGCATCTGCACAGTCCTGCTCTCCTGGAGCTCCAGAAAAAATGCCTCTGTGGACATGTCCTCACTGAGGACAGTCAGAAGATGCCCTGCACATGTGTCTTGGAGGGAAGAAGTAGGTGGTCCTGACACCCCTGTGGTTTCCTGGTCCTCCTCCTTGGGTAGGAGGGGTCTCAGGAGAAGATGCAGTTCCAATTTTGATGGTGGTGCCCAGTGCCCCTTCCACAGGGTAGTGAAACTGTCCACAGGCAAAGGTTCCTCTGCCTGCAGAGGTGGGAGGACAGTCTGGTGAACTGATTCATGTCACCAAGCGCACACCACCACTAGGGCCCTACTTTCTCTCTGCCTTGAAATCTGCAGTCCTCCCTCAGCCACGAAGCACCCCTCTGGTGCGGAGTGAGTGTCACCATGTATGAACCCAGCCAAAGCAGTGCCACCCCGAGGAAGTTGGTTGAGTTTCACCGACAGGCATGGATAAAAAAAGGGGGTTCTCCAGATACAGCCGAAAGCTGAAGCGGCAACAATGCCACACCAGCAGCTACCACGCAATGACAGTGCTGGACTTACTGATTCCTTTAGAGAAGATGTTCCTAAGCCTTTTAATGTTTTTCCATTGATGTTTGGAAGCAGATTGGTGCCGGAGATATGCATGAACCCAGCTTGGCTGAAGTGCCCTGAGCCATCGTACATTTTTAGGAAAGAAACATTGATGGCAGAGTTTGGAAAACAAAGCTCTTATGACATAACAGAGACATCGACCCTGCCAGGAATGGGGGGTGTGGTGGACCCAGACACACGACACCAGCATGTACCAAATCACTGGCTGCGAAAGAATAAAAACTGAAAGCAAATAATAACAGCTTCAAACTTTGTTCCATTTGTGTTCTCAGGGCCCCTTGGCCCTCATTAATAAATAACAAAATATACAAATTAAGAAACAAGAAAAACAGAGAGGCAGAGGAACATAAATAAGGGGAAAAGGGAAAGGCACTTTGTTCAAGACGGTTGGACTGAATTGCCAGCTCAGGACAGCCCTTTCCTCACTGCAGCTTGAAGATGCCAAAGTAGGTGTTGCCATGGTTATACCCCACTTTTGTGGAGTCTGTGACATTGACAAAGACCATGTCATCTTCCCTGAGGTTGAAGACACCTCCCACACGAATGGACTGGAGTGCACAGACGGTCTTCGAGTGTTTTGCTTCATGTGTCTTCAAGGAGGTCTGTGTCTTTTGTCCTTTCAGCAAGAGCCGGTCCTCTTCTTTGGGGATATGTAAATAAATATAGAGGGTGAAGGGTGCCAAAGACACTTCTGGGGTGCAGAAGCTGACTTGGGAGTAGATGTAGTAGAGCCCTGCTTCCTCCACCTTCAGTTTCCCCTCCTTGTTGGATATCAAGCTGTTTGTGGGGCCATACATGGTCTCCCTCCACTCCAGCACTGTAGGGAGACAGCATGGCAGGTGAGCTCAGAGAAGGAGACTTCCAGTTTGGCAGGCTGATTTGGGGGAACACCCACAGACATCTGGCCTCAAAGCCTCTGTCTGTCTGTGAGGCACAGTTAGTGGGGTACCCAGCCCAGGACACCATCCCCAGCCCAGGGGCCCAAGGCCAGAGCAGATTTAGCCCTTGTTTGCTGATCACTGGCTTTGTCAGCCTTGACTGGATATGTGAGTGGAGGTACATTTAGCTTCCTTCATCCAGCCAAGTGGAAATGCTTAGGGAGGAGGATTGTCTGTGTTTACTACAACAGACCAAACAGTGTCACTTCCATTTGCTGCCCTCATGGACTTCAGTGAGACACCCTCCAAACCCTCACAGCACTACCAAAATATGCTGCAACTCTGCTCTTCAGAGCCTCCCATCCCAGTTTTTTTCCATCTGGGGGCTGCCTTTCGTCTAGAGTCCTTCCTCCTTTTGGCCTCTGGAGATGGCAAGGCTTTACCAAGGAAGTACAAAAATTAACATTGCACAGTTGCTATCCCTACCTAAGTGCAGAGCTGCAAGGGCGTAGCACAGTGAGTGCTGTTTCCCATTGCCAGGACCACGGCCCACACAGGTCAGGTGATGCCATGGATTTTGGGACACTTTTGGTGTCATCACAGCAGCTCATGTGGTTAGTGCAGATAAGCCTACACAGAGACCTGGAAGCCATGGCTGTAGGGCTGAGCTCAGCTATGACCTCTGGAATTTGGACGTCTGCTTTCCCCAGCCTACAGAGACACCTAGAAGAACAGCCAGGGGGAGCAACTTGGCTCCAAGGGGAATAATGGGTTTGACTACCCCAGCCCAGAGACAGCGTGCCATGGGTAGTCCTGGAGGAGGCATGAAGCCCATGGGCCCTGACCAAGCATCCCATAGGAATATTTCCCCACACAGTTGAACTCCAGGCAACTGCTGCTCTCTGGACTCTGCTTTATAAGCTCAACAAGTGTTTGAGCAGGGAGTTTTAAAATACAGCGAGTCTCTCACTTCTCTGATCTTATCTAGCATTAAGCTTTCCACAGGCAGACTGAGCACTGGTGAAATGTTGCATCAGAGACGGAAAGAGCAGTTGCGGATTACTGTCAGTTACTCCAGAATTAAATCAGAAGTGCTTAGATGGTGAAATCCTTGCCAGATGGAGTGACTGACCGTGCAAGCTCATACTCACTTTGGTAAGCCTTGCTGTTGTGGGAAGTCCCTAAGCTAAGGCTAAGCTGAGGGATAGAGCGGCAAGAGCAACCAGAACGGATACAGTGGATGCACAAATGTAACAGGACTCAGGTGTTTCTCTCAAACGTGATGTGGCCATGGCTGTGAATAATTGCACCTTGACCAAACCAGTTTGGAGCCCTATGTCGCGACTGTAAAGCCCTCAGCCCGCCCATCTTACTACCAGGAGCACTACGGGTGAGAAGAGGATTAAATCAGCAGATGCAAATACAAGCAGAGTCCTCCAGCAGCAGCCACCCTAGCAAGAGATGGCCAGGAGAGCAAAAAGATCTATTTTAAGAACAAAAGAAAAGTGGGAGGTTGCTTTCCTTAAATACAAAGCTAAAAAGTTTTCCACTCATAAAAAACACTGGAAAGATTAAGCCCTTGTGGTGCATTTCTAGGAAGGCACACATAGGGCTACTGAGGACAATTGGGATGTGTGAACCCCACATGGCACAGGTGCACATGGCGACGTGACCACTGGGAGGTTTGCTGTGTTTTGGGGACACATTTTTGTGCTGGAGTTGTTCTGTCCCGTCCCCCACCCTTAGAGAGCCACAGGGCAGGACTGGGAATGCACAGTGCTGTGTCCCTCTGGCTCCCTGGTCAAGGTAGGACCAAGTGAGTCTGTCTTACCTGAGCCTGCCTTGTTGCTCGGCTGACCTGCCAGGTGAACTGCAATTGGCTGCCTCTTCTCTGCTGCAATTTAGAAAGGCCAGTGTTATTGATGCCTTGGCACTCACTGTTTCCCCAGCGCTCCTCTGCAGGGACTGCAGCTCCTTCGCCCTTAATGCTTCTTTACAGGCAAAGTCATCATCTCCAGATTCCACCCCCAGCTCAGAGTGAGGCAGGACTCCACTCAGCAAAGAGCTGCAGGTGCCTCTGATGGATGAAGCCTGCGGAGGAGATGGTGCCACCTTGCCCGCCGTTGGAACAGGACCTGGATGTGCCCACACCTCACCTGCCACAGATGTTTCATTCTTGTGTGTCACACGGGGATGCTCATGGTGCTCAGGACCTGCCATGTAAAAAGGCCACAGATTTAATTTTGAGCTCAATTTCAACAACTTCAGACTGTCTTCTCTGACACCCAGAACCGCCTGCCCTGGGAAGACAGCCATGGCCAGTGTCCCCCTCTGCCAGCTCACACTGAGCCCAGTCCTACACCTACGGGGATGCTCCAAACTCCAACCCATCCCCTGCCTCCACACCATGCTCTGAGAAACTCATGGGCTGTTGAAGAAAACCCCTTCCCAGGCCAAGGAACTTGCCCTGCCCCAGCAAGTCATGAGTGCACTGGCTACACCAGGAAACTCACCTCTCTGCATTTCAAACTTGGGCTGCTCCTTGGGGGGTCCATCCTGTTACAACAGCAAAAATATATGGGTTTTTTCCAAAATCAATGATTTTGAAAGTTTCTATATAAAAGATGCTCTGGTCATTGCTAAGGTTTGGTGATATTTAGCTCCAACAGCCCTGTCAGTTCGTGACAGAGCATATCTGAAGCCAGAGAGCCCCTCTTGTACCTTCCCCAGCTTCACACATGACCATGGGCTGTTTGCAGCAAGGAGTTTAGAGGGTTTATGGTCTTAGGTTTTATTCAATTAAAATGATGGGTAAAGTTTATTGAAAACAATAAGATAAACAAACAAGAAAAATCTCCTTTTCATGTGGGAGAGCCATGATGTAAGTGCTGCCAATGTACACCGCTGCCCTGCAGTTGGGGTTTTCAGGACTGCTGACCACAGCCTACCTCAGACACAATTTTTGGTGTCTGTTGGGTACTGTTGCTAACCTGAAGATTTAGCTGAGGCAGGTTTAGCTGAGGCGTTTGTTGTTATCAGGCAGTGACAATGAAGAAAAAATGTTCCTCTCCTGTCAACTCCAGCCAGCACAGCCACTCCTGAGCAGTGAATTCAGGGCTGAGCAGGATGAGAGCACCTCATTGCAATGCACATTGCAATGCAAATTGGCTCTTCTGCATCCAAATATGAGGAGCCTGATCCAACTAGAGATGCCATCCCTGAGTCCATGGGGTGGCAATTTGCATAGCTCCTTCTCACTGGTTGCCAGGAGCTGTTTCCTGGCCCAGGCCTTGCACTGTCATTGACACCTGGGCAAAGTGGGCAGAAATGTGTTCCCAGTGGCAGGTGGCCACAAGTATCCTCACAGCCACCCAGCACAGGACTGGAGCAAGGTGCCAGACAGTAGAAAATCAATTATTTTCAGACTGGAATCAGGGAGAAGTGGCAAGGTGGCTGTAGCTCCATCCTGGCCACCACAAGGCACAAACATACCATGGCACGTTGCAGCTAGATGTACTCTGATCAAGAGCATTTTAGGAAAAAATCAATGAGATTTCTCAATAATATCAATATAGTGTAAAAAGGATACAGCATAAAAAAGGGCATGTGCTACACAGCCTAAAAGTAAAGAGCACCCACGCTTTTAAAAAAAGCTTGGGGTGAAGCTCTGTGTGTGATTGGGAGCCCCTCTCCTTCTTCAGTGGGATCTTTATCCACCCAACTGCATTTACCTTGCACTGGATGTTCTGGAAGCCCTTTATAACCTTTTCACAGTCCAATAATGTCGACTTCTGACCTTCTGCTGTCTGACATTTCTGAACTTTCTTCAGGAAGATGTAATCTTCATTTAAGCTCAACACCTCTTCCATCTGCCAACAGAGGAGAGAAGGGAGGGTCAATGGGATGTTAGCAGGAAACCTGCAACAGCAGAGCCATGCTGCATTCCTACCATCAACATATCCAGCCTGGGAAGCTCAGGGTCAGATGCTCAGCACTGGAATGAGATGGGTAGACAAACCGTGGGCAGCAAAGAGCTCCCACCAGACACCCAACACAGCATCTGTGCCCTCATCCACTGGGAACTGAACCCATGGAGCTCACCCTGAATGGCAATGCTAGGTGACAGGAGGATTGCTAAGGATCTGTGGGAGTCACATTCTCTGAACCTGAGAGAATCCGTGAGAGAAGCAGAGAAAAGAAAGAAAAAACAATTCTTATCTCAATTGCTACTCCTCTTGTTGTTCACAAGTGGAATGCACTGTGGAAGACTGTTTACCTGTAGGAAATTGGTAATTGGATTCTGCGTGAGTATTTTGATTCATTGACCAATTGAATCCATGTGTGTGTGTCGGGACTGTTGGCAGACAGTCAAAAGATTCTGTGCAGTCGAGTGCTTTGTGCAGATTCGGTTAATTAGCCTTCTGATAAGATGGAGTCCTCCTTGTCATTTCTTGCCTTCATTGGGCTTGCCCTGCTTTTTCAATAAGGACCTATCTTCTATCACCTTGATAATTAACTTAAAAGTCCATCTCTAACTTTTCCTAAAGAAACAGAAATCCCAGTGGGTGGCTCAGGAGTTTTGCAGGTCCTTCCCCAACAGCCTTAGCAGGCAGCTGGGATGCTCACTCAGCCCCTCACTACCCTGTCCACTCAGAGGGGTTTAATTTCTACTGACTTCTTGACTAAAAGCATTGCCAGCAAAACAAAACAACATGTAGGTTGGGGCTGAATTGTGCCAAGATCTTCAGATTAAAAAAAAAAATCAGAAAGCCAATAAGAAAATAATTAAATGCATCCAAATACTGATTTTTATATTTACACCTGTTTGGGGTTTTTTTGTTGTTTTTTTTGTTCCTTGTAAAAACCTAACATGCAGTTAAGTGGTAAAGAGGAAGTGCAGCTGGACATGAAGACACACAGCTGGGCAGAGAGCTCAGCACAGGTAGCACTAAGATATGGAGGATCAGATTTGAAGCCCTGCCACAAGCTCTGAAGGCAAGTGAAATCTTCTTGCCACCTGTGACTGCATTTCAGCTGCCTCTGAGCCTCGGCCATGTCCCCCTGTAGTCACATTTCCCTCTGCCAGAGACCCTCTACACATTCCTTCATGACAGCCTGCAACCTCCATGCAGTGAAGTCCCCTTCAACACCTCTAATATTAAAGCCCCTCTAGCTCAACATTGTTCTCCACCCTTGTAGATCAGAAACCACACATCTAAATTTCAATTTAAGTTGAAACAACACATATAAAAATCAGTAACATCCACCATATCAGTGTATCAGGTAAGAAAAATGCATGCTGGGTTTTAGGCACATATTTCTTTAGCAGGCAGTCATTTCTGGCTTGAAGAAAAGTAGCTTTAGATTGGTGATTTTAGGCATCATGCAGCGCAGCTGCAGCCATACCAACCTCAAAAACGTCTTTCTGTACTTTAACTTTTTGGTAGATATTGTCTCAAGTATGGGACAGGATCACTAGCACTATGTACCTTCAAAAACAGAGGAAGTACTAGGGTCTAGTCTTTTCTTCCCTAACCTACACGACAGCACCTGAAGTGAGATGTTGATAAAATCACTGAAACATGAAAAAAAAAAAATTTCTGGACCTTTCATTCTCTCAGTTAATGTCACAGTGCTAATAAGTGCTACAAAATCAGAAAAAACCACCACCAGCCTAAAACAGCCACTTGCATGCCTAAAGCACACCCTCTTGTCCTCAGACTAGCCACCAGTTAGCAGATTTATTCCAGATGTCTCTTGGCAATTGGTCATTCTCTTTTTGTTAGCAAGGGGAACAGATCTCCCACCTATTCTCATGGCAAATTAAAGCAGAAATGAGAACATGGGTGAGATAAATGATACTGCTGCCTCCATCCAGTGGTCAGCACCATTTTCCACCATGTTCATCCTCCTGGTGAGCAGATCTCACCAGACCTGAAGCCAAAGCATGCCAGCAATCCAGCAGGGACAGAGACAGCTTTCTCTCTCTGCTTACCTTATCCATCTTCATGTGAAGATACAAACAGAAGAGCACGGTCCCAATGGTCTGCACTACAATAAATACACTGAGCAAGCCCATGAACATTTTCATGATGGCAGGAGATGTGCTGCTGATAGGACGGGGTGCCTCAGGACCATAGGGTTCATTCATCCTCCGTGCACGTTGCTGGGGCTCCTCCAAATGCACTGCTTGCAAGTAGCATGAGAACTGTTGTGCGAGCGCCTGCTGCTCAGGGGATACAGGGTACAGCAACCTACACTTCCTGGAAAAAGCTCTTCATAGTGGGTAGGTTTGTTCACTACCATCTCCCATAACAAACAACAACAAAAAAGTTGCTTAGACTTTCTTCTCTGTTGCACTTCCATGCTTTTTCCTACTGTTCTACCAGAAACAGAGAAAGGTTCTTATTTTGTATATTCATATCTGCCCTTGAATCACTCAAAAATATTCCCCGGTGGATTGTTTTTACTGTTGTGAATGAAAGTTCTGTGGCAAGTTGCCATAAAAGAAATGTACACTGAATACAAATACAGAGCTTCTGAGCAGTACTGTGGGCTGCCAGGGGCTGGGAAGCACTCAGACATTTGGTTGTTTCTCAAAAGGGGAAGAATAGCTTTTTCCTTTTGATTTCCTCTAAGAGAAAGATGATTTCTGCAGTGAAGATGCTTGGCTGAGGCAGGTGGGTTGTGCTGGTTTCTGCTTTCCCTTGTGCTATCCCTGGATGATGTCTCTGCCTGGTTCTGGGTAGGCTGGATGATCTGGGAGAAAGGACCATCTGTACAGAGAGTGTAACCCTGGTGTGGGCACAGCTTTCATGCTCTTTAGCAGACAACGGGACTTTGAGCTTGGTGCTTGGCTATTAGTTTGCAGAGACAAGTTTTAAGTCGCTTTCTTGATACCCTAGTGAGGTGCTCACCCTGTATCCAAGAGCACAAGCCTTCTCATACCCTGCCCCACTTATTTCTGTTACCTGTATCTATGTACCTAGGCATGAAAAAGGGTGTTGGGAATGCCAGATACTCTGGCCAGCTTCTGACCTCCCATCATCATTGCCATGCAACTTTGAGAAATCCATGTCCCCTCTACACCCTGACGCCTCTCGAGCTGGCTGCAGGGAGGTGAGGTCCTGCCCCCCAGCTCTTCAGGAATCCAACATTCATGAGTACATGCAATGCTGCTAAAATAATACACCAAGTAAATACCAGGGGGTCCTCATTGCTTGCAACAGGGGACAGACCTAATTTACTCTATATAAAGAGAATAAATGTGGGGTTTGTTGGGATGCAGAGGAGAAGGGGCTGCAAGAATGTGTTGAGGAAGACTGGAAGGCTGGTTTGAAGGCTTCATCAACCACCACGTAGAGTTGTTTTGAAAGTGGTATGCTAGAGGAGATTTTCTTATCAGATGTTCACACAGCTAATACAGGGTTGGATCCTGTAGGTGGGGGGTGCTGAACAGGTCCTGCTTGCCAGCAGCCCCAGGAGAGGAGGGTACACAGTGCCTTTTGGGGCTGCTCAGAGCATTGCAGGATGGAGTCCAGCATCTGCTTTTCCTATCTGCCTTCTTTCCCGCATCCTGCCCTGTGTGGTTAAGGTGTTATGAGCTGCAAATGCAAATGCTGGTAACAAAGCACAAACACCTCAGCAACTGAATCAGGGTTTGACCTTAGCAGGTCACTGTGCTCCTAAATATAACATCCTAATCACAAGTGTGGGATGGCTCCAGGATCTTTGTGGGCAGCATTTGATAACAGGGCAGAGGATGCCATGGGGTTGAGGCCCTGGCTGGTGCTTTGCAGTCATGTAACCCTTCAGCTTGCCAGGACTGTCACACCTTTGCAGTGAGGGGTAGGGCTCATCCTTTGGGAAGAGACGGCCAGCTCCGAGGTCAGCTCCCCTTCTGCCTCCTAGAGGAGAGAGTAGCTGCTGAAGTCCATCCCCTTGAATGCCCATACTCTGAGGGCTGCCCACACACCCTGACCATCCAAGGGCTGCCTTGCTGCTCAGCTCACCAGGGCTTTCCAGTCTCCTCAGGAGTGTCCTCCCAGGGGCAACAAGGTGCCATAAACAGTACTGGGAATGCATTACTTGTGTCCCCAAAGAGGGTCTCCTCAGTATCACTGAGCTTTGGACCTGGTCCCTCAGGCTTGCAGCTCTGCTGCGCAGAGGACCAAGCCCACACACAGCCTGGGGCCACTGCCAAGTGCCTGATTTTATTTCTTTTTTTCTTAAAATTGCCATAATCTTTGGAAAGGCCCAGCCTGGTCTCCTCTCAGGCATTTGGTCTCACATCAAGCTCCTGCATACTTGTCCCTATCATGGCAAGTTTGCCATAGGCAGAAAGCCATTTGAAAATCCCCAATAATACTCCAGACAGCTGAGGGCCATGAGGCCACAGTGGGGAGCAGCATCAGCTCCCTGAAGTTCTCATGCTTTGCCTTAGCCCCACCACACTCAGCAGCATTTTCCAGGGCTCTTTAGCGTTTCCTCTAAATTTAACACATCTGGGGGAAGTCACTACATGTGAAACTAAGTTACATGGCAAGTCATCATTTAATACTGTTCCCGAATGTGTTGGGACAGAGGCAGCCAACAACGTGTGAAACCACAGTGCTGAGTGTCGCAGAGTTTTTGCACGGCTATTCCTGAGCCTTGGCTTTCTCCAGTGGACAGAACCTTTTCAAAGACATTTCTGTAGAGCCACCTGCTTCACTGAAATGAGAAGAACCTGTAGGAAATGTTGAAAAGACCAAGCATGTCACTGGTCCTGTTGCATGCTCCTTGATGGAGGCTGGAGCCTTAGATGGGCTGACGAATTTGGTGAGGAGGATGGGGAAGAGCTCCAGTTTTGAGTATCCAGCACAGAACATCACCATTGGCCACTGGTGCTGCAAACCAGGAAACTAAGTCGCTCCTTGGCAGCACCCTGATAGGGGAAACCAGGTGGAAAATATGACAGTGGGGATCCTGGCAGAAGTTCAGCAGCAGCAGATCCTCTTCAGGAAACCATTGCTCCACACCAGCAATCCAGCCCCTCGCTGCTGCAACTGGCGGGGAGCAACCCTTGTGAGCTGTCCACTCTGCAGCACCTGGTCCTGAGGCTTCTACGGCTCAACCTGGACCACCACAGCTGCAGAGCAGGGGTGTTGGATCAGACAGGAGGAGCTGACCAGGCCCTGTGGCAGGCAGACCCCCAATGAGCCGTTCTGGCACCGTGACTGCTCAGAGCCAGGCAACCCAGGGACCTGCTGCAGGGTACGTGGAGCTGTCGGCCCCTTGGGACATCCTCTATTGCCACCTCAAATGGATAGTGGGATGGAGGGGGATGCATATCCCTGACTGTTTGGCTGCTGTAGGAACATGGGGGAGCGAAGCAAAGTGGGGAACACAGTCTTAGGGAGAGTGGGATATGATTCAGAGAGATGATGGGCAAGGAAGAGAGGACCCAACAGCAGAAGGAACAGTCTGCCTTCATGGGATAATCCCAGGGAAGATGAAGTCATATCTTCAGCTGGTGATAAGCCCATCACCAAGAAACCAATCGGGTTTTCTTTCGCATCCCAAACTCTCTGCACGTTACCATACCCACCCACTTGTGAATGCAAACTGGTACAGTTCCTCCAGCCAGATAACCCCTGGGTGAGACAATGGGAAAATGTGATCCACTGCTTGCATTCCTATTGCCCGAGTTGTGGTATTTCCGCTGATCAGCAAATTGTCTCCATTCGTATTCGGTGTTCTGAGTTTTGTTTACTGAGAAAATATCCGGTTGCCTGCCTCTGTGATCTGTCAAAGGCTGGGAGCATCTCTGAAGGCAGCAAGGTGAAAGCTGCTGAGAAGAGAGTGATTTTTTGGGGTTTTCTGGGTGCACGCTGTGGTTTCTTGACTAGCTTTTTAAAATGTGATGCTTGCCCTGCATGCTCTTTATAATTAACAAAAGCTGGGTGTTGTGCAGTGCTAAGAGCAATACACTCGAAAAGAAGATTTTATTCTGAGTAAGAAAAGGAGTTTGCCTGCAATGTCATGGGAATGATACAGAAATGAGTCTATGAGAGAAACCTAAATTAAGTCCCTTCAGCCCAGGGCCAGGGGCAGAAGGGAAATTTGAATTTTTCTGTCATTTGCTTTTTCATTTCTTTAGATTTTTCACTCTTCTGTACCTTCTGAGCTCTCATGTCTCCAGGACAACCCTGCCATCAGAGAGGAAGAGGGAACAGATGTAACCAGAGCACCACAGAAAACATCACCAGCATCCAGAGAAGGAAAGGTTGCATTACGGTTTCTGTTCACTATCTACCTCAGTCGAATAAGATAAAACTCTTGGCGAGTCCAGAGCAGCAAGAAACAGTTTCAGGGAGAGAAAAACATGTCAATCCTTGTGAAAGCTACATCCCCCTGTGGAAGAGAAGAGCAGAATATGCTGGTTGTAGCCACCATGGTGGCAATGGCAGGCTGCAGCCCCATTGCTTGCCATGGTCCTCAGCCACAGAGAAACCCATGTGGAGATGAGCAAAAGTTCCAGGCTGAAGCAGATGTGAACATAGCAGGTAGATCAGATCAGATGTACAGTGTCATCTCCACTGCATTTTCCCTGCAGATGTGAGAGAACATCTGCCCCTCCAGATATCTTCTCTGCCACCACCCAGAGCAGCAAAGAACAATAGAAAAAGAGCAACAGGGGGTGGCACTGGGGTACTGCTGTCCCTCTGAGCAACCCTGTTCCAAGGGTCACGGTCCCCTGTGCCCCCTTCCCTCCTTACCCCCTCACTTCCCTGCCCTTCTGTACAATCCACAGTTGCACCCGAGCCAGACTTTTCCCCGGGGAGCTGAGGTGGGTGGAGAGCAGGGAACAGCAAAGAAACAAGCCCCAGTGACGCCACAGAGGATGGAGGGCCCTGGAGGGCATGTGGCTTTCATGCCACGTCTGGGTGACAATGCCAGCCTTGCTGTGCTGAGCCACAAAGAGCACCTGGCCTCAGAACTGCTGAGCTTTGCAGTAGCTGCAAAACCACAAATGGCACTAGAAACTTCTTGCTGTGAAGACTGCACCTACTCCTCCCAACTTCCTAAAAATAGAGCCCAGAGTGGGGAGGCCCACGGCCCTGGCCCTGCCAAACAAGCCCCTCTTGCCTGAGTCACGGCGGAAGGGAG